TAGACATTTTAAGAAAGAAATTATTTATCTGTTGAGAGTGTGCTGACAGTCTGTGTAGTTGGATGGCTGAGCTCCAGAAAATCAGTAATGAGGCATCTTACAGAGTGTAGCCTCGGTTAAGGTTTTACAATAAAACAACAACAGCAGCATGTGTGAATTAAGCATGTTTTTATTGACATGCAAAATCGTCAGTGCTCTTAACAACAGTTATTAGCTGACTACATTAATAAATGACAATTGACATTGAACATGAATAAATACATAAAGAAGTAAAACACAAAAGAAGAACAAAAAATAGATGTGATGAAGACCAACTTTCAGTGAAACAATCACACCCCAATCAATATGATGCCTTTAAGACCATCATTTTGGTGTGATTAAGTAGCAATATTTCTCTGCAGATGATGAGGTTGTGGGGTGTGAAACATCTGAAATACACAATTGAGTTTAGAGTTACAGTGTGTCCATGTGTTTGTGTAAAAACAATTATGTTTATGAAAGCCAAAAGCAAAAATGGACAGTATGTGAGCCCTTCACAATCTTAAAAGAAAAAAGTGATATAAAGTCATGGGATAGTTTTAATATTTTTTGTGACTGCGTACATAAACCCAAGAAATAGTTTAAAAAATCTAACAATATGAATTATATATTTATTGTCTCTTTTACTTAGTGGAGAAGAGGAGAGAAGTTCCCACAGCTTAGCAGAGCTGCACACACTTATATGTGACCAAAAACTAAAAAAAAAAAGATAAGAACATGTTTGTTTGGAAGCCAGTTACATTTTTAAAGTTATATTTGTATTTAAATTTTAAGAATGAAATCATTTACCTGTTGAGTGTGTGTTGACAGTCTGTGTAGTTGGATCACTGAACTCCAGAAAATCAGTAATGAGGTGCTTTGTCAATTATAGATTTGAAAAACAAAAGGGCGGGAATAAAGAACCCTAATCTCTAACACAAAGAACCGTTTCAGTATGGTTCTTCAGAATGCTATGGTTCTATACAATCAGCATTTGTGGAAAGCTACAGGAAACAGTGTTAAATGCTGTTTGTATTCCATTTTACTTTCATGATCATCAACATTTCTGAGGGAAGCAAGATATTGAGAAATGAAATGAGAAACATGTAGGAAAGGACTTTATCCATTACAAATTGAATCATGAAAATTGGATGTTAGGAGGAGATGGTTGGAAGGGAGGACTTGAAAAGTAAGGAAACAGAAGGAAAACTTTATTACATCTTGATCAAATATAGACAATAAAGATTTTTACTTATAATAATATATGCAATGATTATTTGTTCACATTAAAAACAAGATTGTTCAAATAAATAGAGTGTTTCGCATTCAAGTTGATTTTAAAGACAAAGAGGACGGCTCAGTCTTTCAGCAGATCAATATAAAGTTACAAGCGCTTGCAGCTTTTAAGGTCTACTTTTCATGGAACATTAAACAGTGCAAACATTGTCCTGTTGCTGAGGTGTTTTAATCTCCTTCATTGACTTCATCCATTCATGTTTCCTAAAATTCAGCACAGCTTTAGCGTTTTAAGGATTTAGACTGTCTCTCTCCTCTATAAAACAGACAAGGACTATCTTTGTAGCATTTCCCTTTGGGCTCAGGGTGTTGTTCATGTGCATTAGCAGGATTAGGGGAAGTGAAGCCTGAGAGTATCCTAAGGTTGAAGGAAGCCAAGGAGAAATAAGAAGGATTTTACCAGTACTGTGTAGTAAACAGTGCCAAATGAGTTGTTCTTGCACCACGTAGCTCCACTCTTTCACCTTTAGTATGAGAGGATTAAATATGGAGTGTGCTGACACTTTCCAAGGACAACCACTCAAGCAGGTGCCACTTCATAAGCTTCAAGTTCAAAATACTTTTTATGATGCCGAAGTACAGAATGTTCAAGGAACCTTCATTGTTTGGGAACTCTTGTATGTACATTGAAGAATAAATAGGTGATGAGATTCAATGCTAATGAAAAAGGGAGGGAAATTGATTTAGAACGTAATCAGAGATTCTGAGCAATGCTCAGTGTAATAATCTATCTGGCAGATAATTGTTATTCAGCCCTGAACAACAGTATGCCACACTACATTTCAGGAGACGCGAGATGCAAATGTTGTGTCGGAGCAAAATTTTGTATAAACAGTATAATCACATGCATCATGAATCATTTTAAAATTTGATTTACAAATAAAAATTTGACATCACTGAATCTTTATCTAATGACATTGATTCAGAATTTGTAGGAAGAAAACATGGTTCCATTTTACTTGGATCTAAACTGCTGATATGAATACATTTTAATACAAAACTAATTTGACCTCTACCACGTACAACTCGGACAACGTCCAGCTGTCAATAACATAATACAATACTACAGTACCAATTTACTACAATCCAATACTTCCCTTCCTGAAGTATCGTGACAGTGTCCCGTCAAGAAACTTCTATCACTGCCTCAAACCACACATGAGCACCAGGTCTTTAGCATCTATACATTCTCACCGCCCTTCTCAGGTGTACGCTGGTCCGACACAGGATCAATACTAACTCCGAGTATTATAGCCTCACCCCGAGAGCGGGTCTATAGTCTTCCAACACTATCACTGTCTCTGCTGTGGTCCACTGAGCACAGAATCTTTAGTACTTCTATTCCTCAGCTGCGCAGCATATACAGACATGACTACCAAGTTGCTCTTTACAGGAATAAAAATGTATTCACGGCCGGGAGCCCACTGGTCACAACAACCAAGAGAGACTTCCTGAACAGAAATATACATGTAAATTTATACCTTGTAGTTAAGTAAAAATCAATGTCATTCAAGACTTTTTCACTGGTGATTGGTTATACTGATCTGGTCATTAGTTTGTCATATGACTGTTAGTTCTACTGTTTTAAGCACTTTTTGGGTAAGTATCGATTCTTTATTCATAGATGCATGGCCTTTGATCTGAGCATCCTTAGTCTGCACTTTCCTGAACATTCTATCAATTCTATCCATTTCTATCTATTGAACATATACCCTTTTGACCCCTTCTTGTTGTATGTAGGCCATTACATACAACATTTCCATCACAACAGTTTGAAGGAGTTAAAATGTCATATTTGCACAACAATATTCCCTCTTTTCATTGTCATGCTTACAGGACAAAGATTCATCACCTTGGGATTTTATTTATAACCACAGAGCCCTCTGATATTTTTTCAAAACATCCGCCTTCAATGCACAGGTCAACCCAGTGAGTCCACAGTCATGCTAAAACAGCTGTAACCAACATCAAATGCAAGACAACATAGAAAATTAGTTACAAAATGATAAAGGCATAATTCACCCACAAATGAAAATAATGTTTTTAACTAAAGTCAGTGGGAAATAATGTTTAGGCCCTATAAAATTCTCCAAAGCATCTTCTTTCGTGTTCCGAAAGATAGTCATAGAGGTTTGGAATGACATGACCAAGAATCATACAGTTTGCAATTCTCAATGTAAGATCTAGATCCGGTAAGGTTTAGAGAAAGGTCACTGGAATCCAATCTGATTCTCATTGCCCTTTTTGCTGAAAACTATTAGATGCTGTTCTATTGTTCACCCCTGAAAGCTACGACCCAGTATTCAGCCAAAAAAGCCTTGTTACGTCTGTCTGCTTTGCTTTGAAAAGAATGACTGTCAACCCTGCTCTATCTACTCTGTTGCTTAGCAACGGCTGGTGCGTCTTCCGAGAAGAGCTCACTCTTTCCTCTTTTCTGAATTTCCTCTCTCTTATTTTCTGTACATTTGAATTGGAGTGGAGCATGACGATTTGTCCTGGAGAAGAATAATAAACAGTTCCCAAAGGTCAAACTATATTTTCAAGGGTTTAGGCAAAAGCCTAAAGTTGCACAAAAGATGTTCTATTCCAAAGCAAACAGTACCACTGATGCCAGAACGTGCACTCTTTTTCATCTTTGTTATTTTATATAGATATATATATTCAGTGTAATACCGGAGGTGGTGACGAATTTAACCTGGATGAGCAGTTTTAACTGCCTATTCATCAGGCGGGATTTTACAGCATGTTAATGAGGGCTCCGTCCTCTCTCTTCTGAGCCTGTTGCTGTGAGACGAACCAAAAGTCATGTGAATGCAGGGGGGGGGGGGGGGGAAACTATGTGTTGAAATGCACAATGCTAATAAGTCACCATGCAATAAAAGGACAAGTAAGAGAGAAAGACAAAAGGATAAAGGCCAGAGAGAGAGAGAGAGAGAGAGAGAGAGGGGGAGACAGGGTGAAGAGAACTGAAAGGCAGAAGCAAAAGTTAAAGCAGGGTCTTAATGGACGGATACAGTCTGAGCATGAAATGGACCGTCTTGTAGTTTCTCTTATGTATGATTCATTATTGCTAACATTTATTATGCTCTACCTTGGGAACAGATAAAATGGCAAATATTGTGCACCTGCCTCTCATTTGGATTCTCTGTGTTTTTACAAGCTGCTTCAGTGGTGAGATGTTTTATCTGCCTTGCTCAGTAATGGATATTATTTTTGCTAATTGTTTTCAATCATTGAGCATTACATTATGTGACTTGTGTTCGCTATTTGTGGACGCATCTAATATGAGCACACTGTTTTTTCATATTTCATGCTTTCCACTAGAATATTATTGCCCAAAGGGGGCAAAAATTGACCGTGATGGTTTACGCTGCTACTGGATGCCCACATTTAAGTCAACATGGCTAGAAGCAAAAGGCATCTGTCAGAGAGACGAGAGAGGAGACCTTGCTATGGTGGACAGTGTGATTGTACAGACCTTCATTCAAAATTCATTCCAACTGTAAGAGATCACAAGATTTTTTAGTGTTTTGCGGGCAAGATCGCCTTTTTTCCCCAACATAAATATTTAAAAGGCAATGTATAAACACAGAGCATTGAAACTTTTGTAATGGCTGATCCTGTATTTGCATTTACTTTGTGTAAATTCCAGAGAAGCTCCAGTTGGGGTTTGGTTGAGAAATGGAATGGCACAGGGTCCTTTCTATGATTTAGATACTGAAGACAGTGAGCTGAAGGAATGTACTTCAATGGCTTTGGCCTCCGGACAGTGGATAAATGAACAATGTAATAAAGGAAATTTCGTTATCTGTGAGAAAAAGATATCAGGTAAGCCAATAAAACTGTTTTAACCCCACTGATAAGACAAGAAAATGACAACCAAATTATCATCATCATCATAGAGACTAAATGGTTGGCAAATAATCACCTGTACACCTTCAAACAACACACTAGCAATTAACCTTTACCTTCATTACCGTTGTGGTGGTGTGTTTTGACAATCAAGACAAAAGAGGGGGAAAAAGTAGTTTAATTATTTATAATCACTGAACTCAGCATTATACAACTTTATTTATGGAAATAAAATACTAGCATTACAGTGCTAGCAGCTAGGGCGTGACAAAGCACATCATACATTTGTTTACATTTGAGTCATTTACAGCTCGCATTCAGTTAATATAAGTTGCAAATATACAAGAATATTACAAATTCTTTATCAGAGCTGACAGCAGCATAATTCACTTTTTCTTTAAAGTGTTTTTGCCATCGCTGGAGAGCTATGTGGCAGGTGTCCCACTAATGTCAGGCATATACACAGTGTCCCAGATGCAACTGCTACCCTCTCCACCAGACCCAGGACAACAAATGGTTGAGGTAAAAAAATAAAATAAAAATAAGCTCACTGAATTGTTAATCAAGGGATCTGAAGTTTAGGACAAAATATAGTTTTTAAGCTAATAAAAATTAGACTGTTAAAGATATGCTACCTTTCAAAAGTTCAGGGTTGGTATGATTTTAATGGATTATAACTGTTATGTTAACCAAGGCTGCATTTATTTAATAAAAAAAAATTCAGTAAAAGCAAAATTACAGTATTTTGTGAAATATAATTACATCCTAAAATAAAGATTGTATTTTTTAATATATTTTAATATTTAATTTATTACTGTGATGGCAAGGCTCAATTTCCAGCAGCCATTACTCCATTACTTCAGTGTCACATGATCCTTAAGAAATTCTTTTAATATGCTGATTTTGTATCACTATCAATGTTGAAAACACTTTTGTTTAATATTATTGCGAAAACCATTATGTATTTTTTTCATGATTCTTTAATGAATATAAAGTTCAAAATAATCGCATTTATTGGAAATAGAAACCTTTTAAAACATTATAAAAGAACACAGTGTTGATCTTGGTCAGTTTAATAATAAAAATATTAATTGCTTTCTTATCCAAAAAAAAAAAAAAAAACGTACTGATCCCAAACTTTTGATGAGTTTTCTCAATAAATGGCAATTTTATATGTATAATGTTTTTAAAAAACTCGGTTTCCTGAGATAAGGGAACGAGCGTTGTGTTGAACTCTATGGGGTAAACTCCTGGTTACTCTGAATACTGAAGCCTGATTTGTTCACGTTCGTGTAGCTGCACGAACAAGTGGCGCTTCAGCCCTCCAAAAGGGGAGGAGCCGACTGCTATGTAAGTCGGTTCTGATCGCCATTTCATCAGAATCTTTCAAATGATAGCGACAGTCATCGACTCGCATGAAGCCTTATAGCATGGCAGCCTACGTAATGCTCGTTCCCTTATCTCAGGGAACCGAGGTTACGTTAATAACTGGAGCATTCCCTTTTGAACGGTCTCTCCCGTTGTGTTGAATGCATCCAATGGTGCCGTGCTATAAGCAAGTGCAGAACGAAGCTGACCTGCAAGCCCCGGCTCCAACAAGCATGAGCTGCTTAACACGGATGACACATGACAAGAAGACGGGTCCCCATTCTGTGCTGCATACCAGTCAGAAAAGACTTACCATTTAAGGGTGTAAAGGCGTCTTGTAGATGGGGTTCTAGCCTCCAAAATGGTATTAGTCACACTTGCGGGGAGCTGTCCAGACACCCATCGAGGTGCCAAACATGAAGTCTCCACAACTCGAGCTGGGGATGCCAAATCATGCCTCTCGCCTGAGAGAGAAGGTCTGTCCTGTCGACCAAGGGGCTGCTGATAGCAGCTGAATCAACTCTGGGAATCATGTCTGGTTCCTCCGTCTGATGACCTGAGGAAGCAGGGCAATTGGGCGGAAGGCATACAAGTGAGCGCTGGGCCAATCGTGGGCCAGAGCATCTCGCTGTTTTGAGAAGTAAACTGGGCAGTGAAAGTTGTCTTCTGAGGCAAGGAGGTCCAACTCTGCCCTCTTGAAGACAGTCCAGATTGTCTGAACTATCTGGGCATGTAGTCTACATTCTCCTGGTGTTACATTGCCCCTGGACAGCATGTCCACTCCTAGCTTAGTCTGCCCGGCACGTGAACTGCTCTCAGTGAAAGGAGTTTGCCCTGTGCCCATAAAAGGAGGCGTCAAGCCAACCTGTTGAGGGAGCATGACCTGAGACTGCCTTGGTGATTAATAAAGGCTAGGTTTTTTGGGCTAGGTCTTCAGAATCCAGCGGGGAGATGATCTTTGTACTGAAGCAGAAAAATTCTGAGGAAATGGCACTCAGAGCCGACTATAGCCGGCTCCTCCCCTTTTGGCAGGTTGAAGCGCCATTTTTTCGTGCAGCTACAAAAACGTGAACAAACCAGGCTTCACTATTTAGAGTAACCAGGAGTTTACCCCATAGTGTTCAATGCAACGGGAGAGACTGTTCAAAAGGGAACAAATCATTTCAGACAAAGGGGCAGAATATGCTCATTGTTCATTTTTCTACATATGTGTTTATTGAAAATTTGCAAAAATGCATGTTAAGTCATGTTATTGAATAACAATGTTTGTTGATAAGTCATGTTTAAAACACACACACGCATGTTTGTATATGTGGTTTACAGGGACTCTCCATAGGCATAATTGTTTTTATACTGTACAAACTGTATTTTCTATCCCCTTACCCTACCCCTAAACAAAAAACTTTCTGCATTTTTTTTTTTTTTATAAAAAAAAAAAAAAAACAGTTTAGTATGTTTTTAAAGCCAATTGGTTTGTGCACAGATTATGTTGTTCCCGGGTCTTTGGTTCAGTCATGAGGGTCGAGTCCTGTCTTTGGATTTGGTGACGCAGCCAAGTGATCAGCTGACCTTTGCTAGAGTGCAAATCTTACGGCCGTACTGCAGCCCAAGTCATCACCTAGTACCACCTGGTGAGCAAATTAAACTAATGAGAAACACATTGTTAACAGTAATCAAATTATCAGGTCAAGATGTACAATTTATAAAACATCTTCTCTCTCAGGTTGTAGTTCTCTCCTGAACCCTTTTAGCTGCTGTTCACTGATGCCCATGTGCAACACCACCGGTGGCTGTGCCAGTGGGCAGTACTGGTGTCACCTGCTGGAGATCTGTCTGCCCGTCACCAGTCCGTGCAGCTCTTACCACTCCTTAAACGGGGGACATGTATTCCCCCTGCCTCCCCGCTACCCTGCGACGCCACCGTTCTTCCACTTGATGGCAGACATGTCACTGACACTGACCCAAAGCACTGAACACACACACATCAGTGTAGGTGGCAACACTTGACTTGTTGACTCTGTTCCAAAATCTAATTAGCATAAGTCGGCAAAAAGTTGTAAATTAATTATTTATCTTAATTAATTAATAACTCATTTCTAATAATTATTTTACAGTTTTAACCTGTATATTATCTTAAAACGTCCACAAAGTAAAATAATCCATTGGACTGTACTAAACAATAGGCCTAGCAACAAGACAAGCACTGCAACAATATTACAGTAATATTAATACTGAAGTCCTTCAAGGTCATATTCAGTAAAGTTGACAACTGAAACAAAAAAATAGCACTAATTGCAGAGTAAAGAGTGACACTGCGTTCATTTACACACAAGCAGCTCATGGTCTGGTGTTTTCAGCATCTCAGAGCAACTCAGTTTACAGTCAAGCAGTGAACTCCATCTTTACATTTACATTAGTTTAAAGGTCATATGGGAACTCAGTGTGTGCCAGGTTTACTTTATTTACATATTTGCATAATTTCCAACATTTTTGTGGACAGAAGTTTACGGTGTTTCACCAGCATTCCATCAAAATAAAAGCTTTAGGCTTTGAAATGTTGAAAACTTAAGAGTTTGAACATTTGGAAAGTGGAGAATTTAAGGCATATTTGTTAGGTCTGTTATTATATTAAGTTTGATTAGATTCCTAAAGCACCAGGGTGACAATTAACCAAAATCAGAGAAACATGAATATGCAAAGTTAAATTTCAGGAATTTAATTTTACTTGTCCACCATCTTGGATTTATTTTGTAACTTTTAAACTTATTTTAGTAGTCTTAATTATGCTAAAATTATGATGCAAATTAATTTTATAGGCAGCTCACTAGGTTTCTGGAACAGAGCCCATTTCACAGCTATTAATTTAACTGATAGTAGAAAGTTTGACAATGACCTAAAATCAAAGACACTTATTTTTGTGTTTTTGTAGGTTATAGTACAAGACAAATATATCACTGTCTATCCTGATGACATTCTGGCATTGCAGCACACTAGAAGAGCAGGTGAATTTCTACATTGTGTTGCCACTACCAGCTCATCCTGGCGCCAGAGTTACCTCTCCCTGCATGGGCCTGAGTGGGGGGGCTGGTTAGAGGGGGGTCTGTCTGCCCAACCGGGACAGGGCCAATGGCTAGATGAACTGGTCTGTGACCTCCGGGTGATTTACGAGGACACAATGCCACTCTCTGGGGTTTCAGCAATA